TCATAGCAGCATTGACCAAGAGCTGAGAGCTCACGTCCTGATACACAAACAGGAAGCAGACAGCATACTGAAATGGCACCAGTGATTTGAAACCTTAAGCCTGTCCTGAGTGACACATGTTCTTCAATAGGGTGACACCTTCCAGCCCTTCCCAAACAGTCCCATCACCTGAGGACCAAGTATTCAAAGATGTGAGCTTATGGGGGTCATTTGGCTTTTGTCCTCTGTGGCCGCCCCCTCCCTTTCTGCCCTCTTGGGTGTGTGTTCTGGTCCTCCACAGCTTTCACTCCTCTCCCGTTCCCTTTTCTTTCATCTTTTCTTGGTTTTAAGAAGAATTTGAAGTCATTGTAGACATATTTATAGTCCTCATATTCCATATTTCCTAGGAAATGATTATCGCATCTTATATTTAAGTACAGACCTGGCCATAGCAATCATTGACTAATTTTGTTCTTTTATGTGAATGGCTACAAGTTAATCCCCCCCAAATATAGTATTAAACTGAAAAGTGACTACTTATATTCCACATTCTGACTTAGGGTTCTTTTAAATACCTTACATGTGTCTAAAAATGAGAGTGAGGCACTCAGAAACTCCTTGTAGAAAGACTCTACTCAAATCCTTTGTGGTTTGTATAACCCAAGACTACCGGTGAATTACAAGGAAAGCAAGTTTAATTAAAATGTCAGTTTTCTTGATGTAATTATCTGTTCCAGAGTATGAGGGATTATTTCAGGGAGCTTTTTATGAAACACTGGAGGGCACTGTTATAATATTCCCTAGCAAGGAAATGAATGTGATGAATTTGGCAAGGCTGTTTGCAGAGTTTTGAATAATAATGCCACATCCTGTAGAGATGTTGTGCCTGTGTCTTGTGATGATCAACTGGGAGCTAGCTTCCCGCAGCTGACTCTGGATCTCTGGATGCTGTCATATTTTTACTAGTATTGGTCAGATGCTCATCAGGAAGGCCACATGAACACATGTCAGCCAGGAACTGACTGCTCGCTCTCGTGCTCGCTCTGTCTCTGTCTCTGTTTCTGTCTCTCTGTGTCTCTGTCTCTGTTTCTGTCTCTCTGTGTCTCTATCTCTGTTTCTCTCTGTTTCTCTCTCTCTCTCTCTCTCTCTCTCTCTCTCTCTCTCTCTCTCTCTCTCTCACACACACACACACACACACACACACATACACACACAATAAATGGCCTTAATGAGTCAAGTATTTTTCTGTTCTGTCCTTTGAAGCCCTAGTGTGTGAGCCGTGGTATACCCATTAACTTGTAGCATCAGGGTCATAAACGTTAGGCAGTGACAGACACAGATGGCTCAGTGCCGTCATCTGGACCTGGAGAGTTCAAAAGTAATCAAATAAGAGTTTTGTCGCCGGCAGCTCTGTCTTGCTGTTGCATTTTCTGCTGTGGTTTTTGCATGTCTGTAACATAGATTGAGTTTGCTAACATCTTCTGTTATCCACCTTTACCAGTTGCTTAAACCTTTGTGATCCTGTGTCTTCCTTGACATGAGGGACTGAACGGGAACAGCTGGGTCTTTTTTTCCTTTCTTTTGCACACTTTTATGTGCGTATTTAATGTCTTCCTTTTGAAAATGACTTCTTACTTGGCTAAAACATATTTTCCAAAAACTGAAAGAATTTACCAGTTTAGCCATTTTCAAATGCATATTTCTTTGGCATTAAGTACCTTCATTAATGTGGTGAACCCTGACTTCTCTTCAAATATCCAGTTTCCCCGTAGCCATGGCTGTGTGACGAGGACCCGCTGTAGCAGCCTGAAAACAGTGGATGCCACCTCACTGTTCACAGGTCTCTGGCGTCTTCCTGTAGCCTGAGTACATCTTCTGTCTACACAGGGCTGCATTTCTTTATGGAGCTTGGGTTCACTTGAGCATACTCACTGGAAGGAATCGATTTTTAGCAGTATAGGATGCATATTCGTACTTCACTGTTGCCTACAGCCAATCTTAGCGTTTTTGGGGACAATTTTAAAGACAGCAGAAGGCTGTCTCTGTCATCAGGATCCTTAGGAAGTACTTTGCTGAGCAGGTCGGTCCTACCGGTTGTTCCTACCCAGGATGCTTTCCCCTTTGACTCATGTGGCAGATGTCTACAGATGCAGAATCCCTTCACCTTTGCAATGTTAAGGAGAGCCTGCCCAGTGTCTGCCCATTTGTGAGAGCCTTTACCAGGCATTGGGGTTAGATTCTGTTTCCTGTGCCTGGCTGTGAGATGATGGGGACTGAATCCTCTTTGTTGTCCATAGTTTCTTATAAACCATTACTGTGCTTTTTGTCTTGAAAAATGCTAGCCAGTCTATTTAAGAAAACACAGTGACTTGAAGCTTTGTCCCTTTGGCATCACTGTCCTGGATGTTATCGCGTCCTTCTGATGTCCGTTTGTCATGGAGGTAGCTCATTTCGCCACAGCCTTTGCTGAGCTCCCAGTCTGTCACTCAGATTCCTTTGGTTTCCATTTTGCCACGTGGACTGATATCAGGTATTGGAGGGGCGCAAATGTTGCAGGAATACGAGGGTGAGCCCTTTGGAATTTTCACTGAGTTTCAATTGAATATATAGATTCGGGAATTTATCTTGTTATTTATATTGTATTTTACATATTTGTTTTCCTTTTTAGTTCCCTTTCAAGCCCTTAGGGGCTTGAAAACATGTAGTTTGTTTTGTTTACTGCCCAGCAGTGTAAGCTGCAGAGATAAAAGGGTCAAGGATCAAGGGGTTAGGACTTTGCAGGAGAAACAGCTCCCCTGTGGGCTCTGCATGGTGTGCTGGTTACTATTGTTATAGTGAGGAGTCCTTAGAAGAAAAAGAGACACTGTAGAAGCTAGATGACATTTGACTGGTTAGCTGCCTGGACATGTTTAGATAGCCTAAAGGAGTTTTGTTCTTGTTCTGTTGTTGTTTTGTTTTTCAGACAGGGTCTCAGTGTGCAGCCCTGACTGGTCTGGAACTCACAGAGGTTGCCTGCCTTTCTCCAGTGCTGAGAATACAGGCGTGCAGACGTGCACCACCATAGCTCACTCAGCAGAAGTTTGCTTTTAGCATGTGTGAGTCTGTTATCTTGCAGGGTGCTTGGTGCTCCAGATACTGGGGTGCTCAGCCTCTGCCCACCAGATGAGGAGCTATCAGAACTCCCTTTTTCCTGCTCTTGCCTTCTCTCTGGAGTTCTGGTGTTCCTGGGCCCAGTGTGTGCTGGATTTGACTCCATGAGCATCTGACCAGACGGACAGATTGCAAAGAGGCTTTTTTTGAGAGCTTTTCTCTACAGAGGAGACCTCATGGCCCTTGAAGGAGCCACCATGGAAGTGTCCTGCCTCTGGGATGTGCCCACAGAGTCCTGTTTTTCTCGTTTCTTCACACAGTTGTTCAGTAAGCTTCAGAGAGCAGAGAGCCGTGGCGTCTCAACTCTGAGTGTAGTTTCTCCCTTGTGATCTAAGACACAAAGTGAGTTTGGGAGCTGCCTGGCTGACTCTTTCCCAACTCCTTCATGACTTTTCATTCTCTAGAACTGTGGCCAATACAGTTGCCACCAGCTGCACACAGATGTAAAATCAAAATATAAACGAATTGAAGACTTAAGTCTTGGCACCCTGGCCACGTTTGATTTGCTCAGCCGTCCCTTATGCCCATGCATTACCGTGGATTTTAGTGTCTGCTCTCGGGGGACTTCAGCTGAACTGACTTAGGTGAGACTTGTCTGCTCTGAGGCCTTTGGCAATTGGATTAGACCTACGATTCTGCTTCCTATAGGGACAGCCTTCCCCTCAGAAGGATCTGGTGGTGTCCCAGAGAAGACAAACTAGTCCTCAGAGAGCTCTTTTCAGCTGTAAATGCTGTGTCCTAGTTTTAAGTGCTGCTGTGACAAACTTTCACATACTATGCTTAAACTGCTCAAATGTTGTCTAAATGAGAATTCTGTCTGTCACGAGTCTTTCCAGGTAAAGTCAGAGTATGGCTTGTGTTTCTTTGTGAAAGCTTTCGGAGAGAGTCTACGATTTTTGCTTCTTCAAGTAGTGACAGAATTCAGTTCTTTAGGGCTGTAGGCTTTTATCTTTTCTTCTTCCTGATTGTCAGGCCAGGGCTGTCCCCAGCATGGAACCCTGGTCCCCTCTCCATTTCCTCCATTGGAGCAAGGCTGGTCGACTCTCAGGATTCAGATGCATGTCTCTTGACCAGCTAGAGAAGATTCTCCACCTAAAAGACATTCACTGATTACATTGGACCTGCTTGAATAATCTGCCATGATCTGTCCGTTCCAGGACCAATCCCTCTAATCACATCCGTGAAGTCACTCTTGCCTCATAAGGTGGCATATTTAGGCATGCATATATACACACAGTTGCAGATGAATTATTTTGTCTGTTACTAAGCAAAAATTGCTTATTTGTAAATATACCTTATTTGAAGAGGGTAACCAACATCCTGCCACCTTTATGTAAATGTTATTGATTTCCCTTTGGGGAGTATGCATCAGGGAAAACCAGGAATGAGAGAAATGAAGAGTTGGGGTGGGGTGGGACAGTAAGACGTGCCTCTGCTTGGCCCAGTTCGGAGAATACTCCTAGAGTATCATCAAGGTTGATTGTGCCTGTTTTGTAGATTAACATGAGAGATCTTGTATGGAAGTGATGGTTTAGTTTTGAAGATAAACTGCTGAAGTTGAGCCCTGTGTGAACTTACCTTCTGTGATGTGTTTGGCAGCTTCTCTACTTGATACACAACAGTTGCTAGTTCTTCACTTTAATGGTGCCTCAGTAAAATCTTTCTTATGTTTTACCCATTCATATATTCGTCATCGATTTCAGTGCTTACTTAGGATTTTCTCTGAAATACTTGATATTTAATTTAAAGGCTAGAGTATCTCATGCACATTCATTCTTGTACAGTGGTGCTGCTGTGTGGTGGATGACGGTATCATTTTGAGAATTAACCTGGCTCTTTGTTTTTATCTTTCATTTTGTTTGTGTCTTTAGCTGAGAAACCTTTCGAGCTTGGACCTGCGTCATATCACTGAGCTGGATAATGAAACCGTGATGGAGATCGTGAGGAGGTGCAAAAACCTTAGCTCCCTGAACCTCTGTCTGAACTGGATCATAAACGACAGGTAACTCTCGTGACGACTTCCACGTGCCCAGAGGAGAGCCCGCGGACACTGGCGCGCACTGCAGTAAGACATGCGGCGCCAGGCAAAGCCCCATGCGGCGTGCCTCCAGTGGCCGTGCTGCAGTGGGGAGCAGGTCTGCTGCTGACTTAGACGCAGTGCTGCACATGCTGCAGGGTTGGTGTGCTCAGCCCCGGGTTTGCTCTGACCGCTAATACACGGCGTGTTAATTCCTTCCTTGTTACTCACGAAGCGTGTGTTGTCTGTCGACTTCAGGGTTTGAGCGTTTTGTGGTTGGTTGTTGTGGCTTTCCTTATCAGTGATTCTGAGGGATTGCCTCAGACATTTGCTTCAGAGTTCCTAATGATGATTTCATTTCTTACAACTTACATTTCTTTTTTATTTTTCTGTTTTTTAAAACTTTTTTTTCAGGGCGGGGTTTCTCTGTGTAGACCTGACTGTACTGAAACTCTCTTTGTAGTCCAGACTGGACTTGAACTCACAGAGATTCCTCTGTCTCTGTCTCTGTCTCTAAGGTGCTGGGATTAAAGGCATGTGTTTCCATCTCCCGGCTTAAAACTTACATTTCTTATGTGTGTAATTTGTTTTTAAATAGAATCATGTGATGAGCAATTTAATACATAATATATAATGTGTAAAATAGGAGATGTTTTGAGTAACCATAAGCCCATTTTTCTCTGAAACATCACATTGATAAAGTATACCTGTAGGGAGAGACCTAGGCACTTCTGCCGCTGACCACGCCCATTCTGGGCGTGGATACAGGAGCATTGGGGTGTGTGGAATAAAGGACTGAGGAGTTCTGACACCAGCTGTAAGGAAATATGAGCGTACACTTGATGAGGGTATTGGAGGCTATTTATTGCGGGAAAGTACTTACAAGAGAAACTGCAACCCAGGCTACTATCAGCAGCTTTTCGAGATCCGACTGGAACCCTGAAAAGCAAAAGCCTGCTTCTCTCCTCAGCCCTTTAAGTCACACCCGTATGCACCTGTAGTCACGCCCAGATGGGTGCCGTCTGCAGCACAGGTGCCTAGGTCTCTCCCTACAAACACCTCTTGCAAGTAGACTTTGATAATGCAGACAAGTGTGTGATGACCCCACTACTGCCCAGGAGGCAGCTGTGTGAGTACAGGCTGGAGACTAGAACCTGGCCCAACACTCACTCACCAGCTTTTCAGAACTTTTTTTTGGTTTTTATTTGAGACAGGGTTTCTTTGTGTACCAAGATAGGCCGTTACAGAGAATTTACTTTCAAAGTGAAGCACACTGTTCCGTCTAAAATTAATAATCATTTAAATAGAACTATATTACAATTAGGAGAAATAATGTATTGTTTAATCTAGTAATATTGCGTGGTAATCAAGATTCTCTAGACTCAGTACAGGTTAAATGAAGTTTATTCAGGGAGAACGCTCTTACACAAGAGGTGGGTGATCGCCACAGGTTCCAGCTTCAAGGATCCTCCTAGCCTGTTCTCTGTGACCCGACCTGAAGCAAGAGGGAGCGTGGGGTCTGGGAACCCCAGATCTAGTCCTTTTCTCCATCATGTCCTCACCTGTGACCACGCCCTTTTGGGCACGGTCAGTGCTACAGGTATGGGTAACGTGAATATCTCACTATAAAGTACTGCTTTAAACTTAAAACTCTCCATCCTCCTATTTCTCAAGTTTCTTTTTACACATTAAAAGTAAAGTGGTATAGATTCCATTTTTCTAGTTACAGCAAGTTAGAGTCAACAATTTTAGATTGCTCTAAATTATTCTTTTAAGTTATATGATAGTCTTCATATGACTCAGTAAAATTTTTGTAGTAATTTTTCTATCATTTATTTGTTATTTAAAAATTCTAATCAATTAAATAAAAGTTACAATTGAATATATTTATTGGGTCCCATGTAAAACTGCATTCCATATTTAAATGATGTATTTAAATAAGGCTAAGTAAGTCTGTCTCCAGAAGCATTTATCCATTTGTTATTTTAACAAAAGGCAAAAGTTCAACATTCAAACTCTATTCTTCTTGCAATTTAAAAATATCCACTACAATATCACTGCCTGTAGTCAGCATCTTTCTTTTTTCTTTGTTTTTTGAGACAGGGTTTCCTAACCCTGGAACTAGCTCTTGTAGACCAGGCTGGTCCCAAACTCACAGAGATCTGCCTGCCTCTGCCTCCCAAGTGCTGGGTTCAAGACATGCACCGCTACCACCCGGCTTGTAGTCAGCATCTTGAGTGTCTGAATCCTGTGTAATTTATGTCCAGCTACCGTGGTTCTCTCAATTCCCATTAGGCCAGCTCTTGCTTATCCCTCTAATGACGGAGAACACACAGCACTTGTCTTTCTTGCTTGATTTACTTTACTAAACTTGATGTCCAGTTCCGTCCATGTTGTCACATGACAGGACTTCAAAGACAAAGTGAAGTGCATTCCAGTTCCTTCTCTGTGAAAGGTTACTAACCTATCTGGTTGTGCTGGTTAAGCAGTCTAATACTGACCTGTATCCCCTTTTGGGGGTGGGAGTGTGGGGAGAGGGCAGAAAAGGGAGAGATTAGTGCATCATTTGTAAAAGTGCACTGATTTTCAAAAGCTTTGCATTCATGAATTGATGGACAAAGAGATTGCTTCCTCTCTTGAATATAACAAATATGTTGAGCACAGATGTCCTTTTATTTTCTGGTTTCACTGGATGGCTATCCAGTAGTGCATTCACTGGAGCCTGTGGTCGTCAGGTTGTCAAGTTTGTCAGGGGCGCCCATGCTGCTCCCCCATTGGTAGACTCATGCTTCCACTCGCCATGCTCAGAGGTCCTACGTTTTCTGTGATTTTACCAGCGACTGTCTTTTCATTTTCTTTTTTCTTAGTAGCCCTTCTTGCTAAGTGGGTAACATAGGAAGTTACTTGGTTTCTCCCTGAAGAAGAACTTTTATTTCTGCCCACTGCCAAGCTTACAGGCATAGTGTGAGAGGTTTAGCTCCCTCTGTGGTTGGCTATTATTGGTACTTAACAAACTATTTGGTGTTTGCCGTTGAGGTATGTGTGTTTCAGCTGTGACATACAGTTTGTAAGTATTTTCTCCGATTCCATGCATTTCTTTTCACTCGGATGTCTGCTTTGCTGTGTGGAAGTCTGTCTGATGTACTCTTCTTGTCTATCTTTGCTTGTGTTTTATGTGTGTGGAAGTCTGTCTGATGTAGTCTTCTTGTCTATCTTTGCTTGTGTTTTATGCACTTTGGCATCTGCCCAAATCCTTTCTAGTGCAGCATTATGAAGAAAGCATCAATAAGAAAACCTTTCCAGTTTCTTACTGCTGTTTTGAAGGTTTGTTTATTTTCCGTTTACATCTTTATTGAATCAAGTTTCTCTTGAAAAATTTACTGATTTTCTTTAAAAGTCTAATGGGCTTCTAAAGAATTATAGAGAATCAGATTTTTAAAATGTATTATTTCTGGTAATATTTACTTTATAAAGTAAGCCAAATATCAATATTCTAATGTACAGACAAAATAGCATACATACTCTTTAATAGCTTTTCATGGCAAGTAATACAACAAAATATGTAAACATTTCTCTCTGCTTAATATTTAGAGACTTTTCTTAGCAATATATTGAATTAAAAGAGAGAGCAGTCATTTTGCAGCAATGTGATTATTTAATTGCATAGTTTTCTGTACACATGACCTAGGCATCATATGTAACAAAAGAATCAGTAATCAGAGAATGCTGTACCTGGTAAGTAATATGCAGTCTGTGAGTGGCACACGCATTGTCTCCTAAGTGAACACTGCCTAGGTTTGCTCTGGGCTCTGCAAACAAACACTCAGCCCAAGATGGGAGTGTGAGCCGCCCTCTTTTGCCTTTTCTTCCCATGTCAGGCTTTGTGGACACAGCTTCCTGCTGCCAGTCTCTCTCTTTTGTACTTATCAGTAACCGGTATTTAGTGTTTGATTCTAAATATAATACGTACCATGGAGATTTATTTCCGAGGAATGAAAGTGCAGTTTTATGTTTTTAATGGAAAAGTTTGGATTAATTGAGAAAACATGCATTTTAATGAGCTGAGCAGCAGAGTTATGGGATGAGACTCTTTTAGTTTTAATTACACTACTTGCACTTATCCTGTGTACTGTAATAGAAGTTTCAGACATTAAAACCCACTTTGCAGTATCATCTAAATTACTCATCTCATTGTTCTTGCCATACTGTATTACTAAGCTAAGTAATATTTGTAATTATATTGGTATAAATCTAGGACTTCCCATCAGACTTAATTATGATTTCAGCACTTAGCCGAGATGGGTTAGTAACCTCTGATAGAGCGAGCACGGGAATGCACTAATGCATTTAGCCTATCAATTAGTGTCTGTTTTACATTTGTTCATTATTGCTATGCTTTAATAAATCGGGAAACAGTGCTAAGTACTTGGTACTGTGTCTCTGAGCCAGCCCTTGCTGCTGTATGGGTCATCCCTCTCTTCAGGTGACAGAAGAATTAATGTTAAAAATGAGCTGGTAAGGACAGAGGGGAGGAATGCAACTTTTATTGTACAAGTAATTGATAGGTGTTTTATACACATTCTCATTCAAGCCTTTCAATATCTTTTGTTCAGGGAAGGTAAAATTAGATCTATGAAATTTAGATCATTTGCTTGATTTTTTTTTTTTTTAGGTGGCTGTGTTTTCTATAATTGTTACTTTGAAAATTGGGTGAGGACAAACAAAATGTTAATGGATCATTGATCATTTTTCTATTTCATAGATGGAATTAATCCACTATTAATATATGGAAAATTCTTAGATTTGTCTTTTTGGTAAGAACTCATAATTTTCTTAGTTCTAGGGATGTGGTTCTCAACCTGTGGGTGATGATATCAGGTATCCTGTGTATCAGATATTTACAATTCATAACAGTAGTAAAATTGCAGTTATGAAGATACAATGAAATATTTTTATGGTTAGTAGTCACCACAGCATGAAGAACT